GAGGCGGCGAGAGTCAGGGGGTGGGAAGACACAGCTGAGCTCATCTAAGGGTGTTTAAGTTTTTCTGGCCCTAGAGTTTTTGGCCATCCCTATATGACCAGGGCCTCAGATAAGCAGAGAGTTTATCTGCTCCTCTCCTCCGACCATAGTTCCTGGTTACCCTGAGCCCAGGTCAGTGCTGCTGTGGCCTTTGCATCCTAAGAGCCCATTTGACTCCCGGTTGTGCTCAATGGACTGACCCAGAGTAAACAGTAGGAGGTTCCCCTGCTCTCTGACCCCAGGGTCTCTTCCTGGCACCGGCCCAGCCCTAATGTCCATCCATCTGTTCCTGCCCATCCAGGCCTCCATGCTGCCCACTGGAAATGGCCACAGTTGATTGTAAATTGATTGTTAATCTTGAGCAGATTGTCCTGACTCTGCAAAACAGAACACCTCCTCCCAGCACCAGGATGTCACAAGCAAGGCCAGCTGTGGGAAGGCAAGTGGGAAAGTAATGTACATCACAGAGTGTAGACAAGACAAAGTCGCTCTGATGTCTCTCAGGATGGTTCAGGTCCCTGCAATTGCAGGCCCACAGAACAGGACTGCAGGCTGGAAAATGGGCTCCCTTTCTCCTGTGCACAAAACAGTGCAGTGTGCAAGGCTGCCTATGTATAGGCGTGTGCCCAGGTGTGTACCCATGTGTGAAAGTGTGCCCAGGGTTGTGCTCATATGCAGGAGTGTGCACAGGCATGTAAATGTGGGTGCCTGTGTGTGGGAGTGTGTGCAGGTATGTAAATGTGCGTGCCTGTGTGTGGGAGTGTGTGCAGGTGTGTAAACGTGGGTGCCTGTGTGTGGGAGTGTGTGCAGGTGTGCCCATGAGGGTGTGTAGGTGTGCAAATATGTGTGTACGTGTGTAGGAGTGTGCACAGCTGTGTAAATGGGGGCACCCATGTGCAGGAGTGTGCCCAGGCGTGAGGGAGAATGTGTGAAGGTGTGCAAATACGTGTGCCTATGTGGGGGAGTGTGCCCAGGTGTGCTCCCCTGTTTGGGAGTGTGTGCAGGTGTGTAAATGGGTGCACCTGTGTGTGTGGGAATGTGCTGTGTGTACCTGTGTGTAAGTGTGTGCACATGTGTGTACTTGTGCATGCTGGTGTTACCAGGGAGTGCTGCCAGTGTCAAATGTCCCAAGTTCAAAATTTTTTTATTTTCCTCACTTACCGACTCCCTCAGATGTGCTTCTGGGTTAAACAAGTTCACGTGCGCAAGGCCCACAAACAGGCGTGGCATGGGCTGTAGTCAGCGCTGAGTCAGTGTCTTCAATTATTTTCATGCTTATATGCAACCTTGTCCAGGGTGGGCCACATGTACGCCCTTGTCTGGTCCTGACAGAGCAGCAGAAGGGGGACTCAGACACAGCAATGGCCAGGGTCCTGGAAACACAGAGACACCCTTCACCCCTTTGAGCTTCACAGACAACCGTGGGTATGGGATTCCTGTCATACCTTTAAGACTGTTCAAATAAGCACTGACGATCACGCCCATATGACATATGAGGAGAAGAATAATTCCATATGAACCAAACACATGAAGCCCACCCTGAAGCCTGCCGAGTTCTCTCCAGTCCAGCGCAACGGAGGGTGCATTTTCATTGGGACTTTTGAGAGTGTGGAGCAGCCCTGAGGAAACCAGGCTCAGCTGTGGGCCCCAAAGACAAAGCTCTGGGATGACTTACCATGGCCTGGACCCTTCGCCTGCTACCCCTCCTCACTGGCTGTACAGACGCTGTCCCCAAGCTAAGCCCCCACAGGGCCATAAGCCTATTCCTGACCCTAAGCTAGCCCGGGTGATGCTTCAGTATATGGGACCCTGAGAATGAGCCCCAAAGTCTCCTCAGCCTTCAGTTTCTGTGATTTCCTAAAGACTCAGCTACAACCAGTAGAGATGGCCATGAGACACCTGTCCCCATCTGCCCAGGAGAAAGTAGAGCAGGTGACAGTGCAGAGAGAGCCAGCAGGAGCCAGGCGAGATCCTGCATCCAAAGCAGTCCCCAATACCCACACATTCTGCAGCTCTAACCTGGGGTACAGCCCGCACCTTCTCCAGGCTGAGGTGGGCTCCTCAGCATGGCTAGCCCATGATGGGGGATGTCAGTGTGTCCATGGGACACATCCCTGCTGCCTGCCAGGTCCTCATGCCCCCTCTCTCCCCACCTTGGTTAAGTTCTGCTCCAAAGGCCCCCGGTCCAGCACTCAGGATACTTGGATCCGTTCCTGGACTTGCCCCCGCTGCTTTCTGTTCTCCTGAGCCACTTGGTCTCTTTTAGCCACAGCGTTAGCTGCTGTGAAGGGAGGAGGCTTATACTGAACTGAAGAAGCTTTTTTCTTCATTCAAAATTAAAAAATAGAAAAGCGATGAATGTCGTATTTATTAATTAAACCCCAATGAGAGGATGTCATTCAATGGGTTTCAGACATGGAACTTGTCTTTCCTCTGCAAGGATTCCAAGAAAGAGGCTCAAAAAGAGCTTGTTTTCTGCATGGTGGGAACAGCAGCCCCCAGCTGAGAATAAGCAGGAGAGCCTCAGTTTCATCAGGAAAACAGACCAGGCTAGTGTAGAATTCCTCCTGGCAGGAACTCTGAGAAGGGTGGAATGAAATAAACATAAACTTGAAATTAACGGTGCTGACAATGGTGATGTTAGCTCACAACTAAGCTGCAGTGCAGGAGACATCAGGTGACCGTGGTGAATCATAGCTGCTGTCATTATGTGTGAGCTGTACCCATTTTCTTCCTAAGTGCACAGGAAGTCGGGGTCCCGGGAGGATGGCATGCACATCTCTCTGGACTTTGAAAGCTTTGCAGAAGAGCTCTCTCATTAGTCCTGATGCACAAAACCAGTAGAGGAGGGCATCTCAGCCCGGAGACACTTTTACAGCAGTTGCACCTGCCCCACCTCCCTGCACTGTGTGTGTGAACTCTCTGTGCTGGGCTGAGCAGGGTGGATTGGGTCACACTGGCACAGAATGGGGCTGGACTCTCTGGTCCTCAACTTCTGAGGTGACAGGAGCTGTGATGTCACCTGGGCCGAGTCTCCTCCACCAGCTGGGGGCAGCAGAGCTGCAGCCAGGAGCAGTCAGGAGCCAGGCTGGGGCTGCCCAGGGGGCAAAGAGAAAGCCCAGCCTGGGGGTCAGCATGTGTCCAAGAATCAGTCTTGAAAGTGAAGACAGTTCGTCTTATTCCCTCGGGCTGCAGTGACCACGTTCTGAGGCTCAGGCTCATACAGTGTCCCCCAGGACACTGAAAGAAGCCCGCCACAGTGAAGGCCTCACCTGGGAAATGCAGCTAGAGGATCCTGGCCCAGGTGTCAGCCTAGGCAGCCTCCTCAGGAAGGGGACACCCTGGGAGATGTCCCCAGGTCAAGGTGCTCTAAGAGTGTGGGGGAAGGGGCTCCCAGGGCCTGAGTCCCTCACCCAGGATGGCTGCCTGAGCCTCCTGCCACTCTCAGGGCCCTGTTCCTCCCTGTCCAGCAGTGTCCTGGGGAGCTGAGCCCTCTGTCCTGGACACTTCCAGATACACTCGACCCCTGCTCCCTCTGCCTCTCCTTCCAGCTCCAGGCAGACCCTGACTCAGTGGCTGGCACCCGTGCTCAAGGGAATCTCAGGTGGGTGGGGTGAAGATGCATTTGGGGCCCTGTTCCCTGCATGGGGCACCCCCAGCCTCCTCGAGGACATGCTCTCCAGAGGGACGAGGATTCTCAACTGACTCAGGCCACAGCTCTGACCCCGAAGCTGTCCATGCTCTGTGGCACGACAATAACAAGGGACTTGGCTGGAGTAACCAGGGACCACTCACCCTGTGGAGCTCACTTGCTGTGCAAAGACCACGTCCCTGGAACCCTTATAGAGACCATGGGGCCTAAAGTTAGATTCTCAGCCAAGTCTGCTGCTCTTTGCAAGTTTACATAAAACATTGATGAGGAAAACATAAATAGGTGACAGAAGAGCTGAGGGGCCA